CTACTGGACTGGAGCTCCCAGTGTAACTGGACTGGGACTGGAGCTCCCAGTGAAACACACTTCTACTGGACTGGAGCCCCCAGTGTAACAGACTGTCCTACTGGACCGGAGCCCCCAGTGTAACAGACTGTCCTACTGGACTGGAGCCCCCAGTGTGATCTGACCTGTACCCCTTATCTAATTAGATGCACGTGTTTCGTACGAGTAGCAAGGAGCTCAGTTTCACGTGGGCGCTCGGACACGAGCGAGACGGCCCACGCGTGTCCCCGCTTCAACCCGGCCAAAACCAAATCGCCACCGGGCGCCCGGGGGAGGAATTATCGTGGGGTTTGTTAGCGGAGTGGGGGTGCCGAGGGTTTCACGCCAGCGCGAAGGAGTGAGCCCCGTTTCTGAACCCGGCTCGGGAGGGGGCCTCTCTGACAGACACATCTGTGTGTGACAAACACGAGTGGGGCGATACAGGTCCGAAACTAACCGAGCACAAGTCATTCCTCACGCGTGTACCTGTCTCCGCGTCCCTGCGCCTCACCACCGCGAAGTCCTCGTACCACTTGGGAAAGAACGCCATCGTCGTCACCGTCGCCAATGACTTCTTAAAATTCTTTATTCACTTACTTATTTTTTATTATTATAATGGTCGCTGATTAACAAGGTGATTCCGGGCTCCAGAGAGCGACCGTTACCCCCCGGCGCGAGCCTCTCCCGCGCCAACTTCAGACAGCCGGGCGGGGGGGTCACGTGACAGGGGGCGGGGAAAAGGAGGGGGGGGGGGTTCGGGGCCACGGGCGACGGAGCGGCGCCCCCTGGAGGTGGAGTGCGGGATACTGCGCATGTCCGTTTGAGGCGACGCCGCTCCTCGCGGGACGCTTCGAAGAGAGGCGAGGGGTGGGGTGGGGTCTCCGCGTTCTGGGCGGGGCCAATGACGTCAGCTTCCCTCCACTTCCTGGTGAGCCTGCCGCTCCCATCGCGGTTCGGAGGGGACTGGTCGTGAAAGGCGCTATATAAAATACAGAGCCTTAATGCAGGAACAGCTGCTGATATTGCCAGCAGCCCTATCACCCTGCAACTCACAACTGGCAACCCACTGAAGCTAAGCAGGTGTGAGCCTGGTCAGTACCTGGATGGGAGACCTCCTGGGAAAAACTAAGG